GTTCGCTAGTCGGCTGTCCATTCTCTCCACCTTAACGTCCGTGGTAATCATTCGTTCCGAGGCTGCGATGTCGGCTTTAAGCTGTTTAGTCCAGCTTGCTATCGCATGCTTTGTGGTTTCTCCTGATAAGTTTGATGACTGCATTCGTATTTTGCGAAATTTGTCTCAATCAATTAGTTTGTACTCCCTTTGCCTTTTTCCTGGGAGTTCTGCATCAATTCGGAGAATGTAGTGATCGCTGCCAAGGTCTATGCTTGAGTTACACCAGCCGCATTTCTCAGTGCCCCGAACGAAAGTCGGGTCTGGTGTAGTGTCACGGCATGTGGAAGTACCACACCTAGTTGGAAGTTCCGGGTCTGTGATGAGAGTGAGATATAGATCAGATGCGGTCATGTAAAGACGTTCAGCTTTGCTAGAAGAATATGCGTAGCCCTATGCCTGGTGTGGGGCGTTAAAATCGCCACTTACAATTAGGGGACTATCTTTTGCGATGCTCGCGATCTTGCCGAGCATGCTTCTGAACCCGTGCCTTGTGTCCTTAGGGCTGCTGTACAAATTAGTGAGAAAGATGCTTCGCTTGTTCCCTACGTGGTTGTTAAAAATAATCTCGATCGTGACGTGTTCTAGATAGCAGGCTGTGTGACGGATTTCATGGTGAATGTACCGGATATTCTTGCTAATCAGAATAGCGACGCCTCTGCCTTGTTCGTTTCTGTGGGTTTCGACCTTATAACACATATGGGTAAGTTTTATTGTGAGTGTTTCTTGCAGTAAAATTACGTGTTGTTTCTCGGTTTCTGATCTTATCATCTGTAGGAGGACCGCCTTTTTTGGGGCGATCCCCCTGCAGTTCCATTGCCAGATGCGGAAATTTCGTGTCCTATTTGTCACTGCCATGTTGACTGACCATCATAGCCTTCTTCGCTTGCAGCAAAAGTGACTTGCAGAAGGCCATGCAAACCAATGTGCTGTGACCTCATCGTCTCCATGGCTGGTACTACCATGTTGTTCATATACAATTCCATTTTTTGAACTCGCGTGTTTAACATGTCCATTTTCTCATTCATTCGCATCATGCTCTCGTTCATCAGTCTCATATTCTTGCTCATGGCGTCCATAGCGTCCTTGACGTCTGATCGCACGACCATTCGCGGTTGCGTTACAGCTCGCTTCTTTGAAGTGGGGGATTCTTCGCGGCGTTCTCCCTGTTTCGCTCAAGTGTTAGGGGTGTTTCAATATTGGTTGGTGGTTTGGGAGTGCTCGTTAGCGTACTGCTGTTTGCTTTACGTGCTTCTGATAACTCGTGGATTAGCTTGGTATAGGCTACTTTAAATTCTCCTAACTCCTGTTCCAACATAGCTATCCGTTCTTTATCAGTGTTGCAGAACTCACGGTTTTTCTTTGGCGTAGTCGTCGTGGCACCTCTGACTTTACCCGCCCAGCGTGCCTTCTCCTCTGTTGTTCTTTCCTGCGAAACGCACCTGTGATCCTGAGCGACTCCTGCTTGTGGTCGATGCCCTCGCAGGTGTGCGGCTCCGCGATTGAGAGCGGGAGTGGCTGCGTGTATGTTCAAGCCACCCACTTTTGTATGTTCAAGCCACCCTTCGGGCGAAACACTGTCTTGATGTTGTCTTCCGGTAAAGATGGCATGCGTGACACATGAATTCATGATGTTAGGAGGCGTCCGAAGGGAGCTCACCTGTCCGCTGCTTGGATGATTTTCTTGCTGCATAAGTGTCGCAGTTGTTTCGGCACGTTCCGTCTTCTTCGTTTTCCGGCTGCTCACCACTTTCCAACCTGTGTTGTCCGCGGCGAAACCTGCGTCTTCGCATGTTGTGATCTCTTGTTCATCAGATCTGGATAAAGCACCCAGCGTTACTTGTAGATCCTCCGCCGAGCTGTCCATTTCGCCGGTAGTAGACGCCATTCGCGTCTCCACCTCGCGCAAAGGGCGGGTATGCGCCCTGCCGATCTAGGCCCATTAGGGGCGAGGCCTAGCTTTCTGCCAACGTGACACGAACAGGAAAGCCCGGATAAAATGCGTAAATGTGGACCCACCGGGGTGAATTTGGCGTCCGGGTGATCCTGGCAACTTCAGACACTCGCTCACACTCTTCTTAGACTGATCAAAGAGGCATAATCAACCAAAAACATTTGAAATGCGGCAGACAGTTAGCGACGCGGTTTGTCGTGTCGACGGCCGTCCGCGTCTCCCGCCACAATAGAGTAGTTGTAATGTAATCTAGCTACCCACTGCTTAGCATGATGGAATCCATTAAATCTCGCTCAGATGTTACTCTGTATCTTGACTGTATGAAACTGGCTTTTTAGCAGGATCCTAAATTTATTTCGCAGTTGACCCGAGGTTATTTAACTGTGCACATGTGCAACCAGCCACACTACTATCATGCTTGAATCAAAATCATCTGTTTTCCATGAAGCACATTTAGTCACGATTGTTGCTATAAATGAACAGATTTAAAATCTTTGTCTGGTGTTTTTAAGAACTTGTATTTTGAAGTGGGGTACTTGTAGTGAGATTGGACTATAGGTGTCAGTACTGCCACGTTGGGGTGGGTGAGCGACCGGGGTGCGGAAAGAAATGTATACAGTGGCGCTTTGCTGTAGGCGGTTTGAGTTACATTGATTGCAGCTTTATGATGATGTATGTGACCTGCATTCCCACATTACTGTACAAAGCTGGGGTAACATTCTTATTATGTGCTAGAGAAGTGTAATCTGCAATTGGCCGCTGGGCATCGGTCGCAGCCCTGTTTTGCATGATGATAGATTTTTTCTTGCTTTATTTTGGTGTGTTTAACATGTGTCCTGTATATACTACAATAGTAATGCATTTTCAAGACAATGGAGTATTTACTTCTTGATCTGCAAAAAAGGAAGTGTTCATTTCTGCATGACTAGATGAAGAAACGCAGCCTTACTTTTGACTCTGCTTTTCTGTTTGCACGAGTACTTGTGCCACTAACAAAATGCATAACTTGAAGTATTTTAATCGCTAAACGGCTTTTGCAGATATTCATGTGTTACAAGATCACAAGGATTTGGAAATCATTAAAGGGACTGACAACTGATTTTTTCGACGCAGCTTTTTCTGGGGCGACAGAAAGCTTACCGTTCGTAGTGTTCGTATCTGCAGTAGTTAAACTCAAAAGCATGTAGTCATTTTATAAGCTGTATTTTTGATCTGAAAGGCTCTGAACACCGATGAGTTCTTTCATTCAGCAATGCTAAAAATAGATGGCGATGCTGGTAGCCTTCCTGGCGACTTGTGCATGCTGTCATTGTTCTGCTTACACAGGAGTTCCTCTAATTATGCTTAACCATGTTTATTCTGAGCTTTACAACTATATTTGAAAATAACAAGCCGTTACAATGAGACCCTGTTGCTTTATACAGCTTCTCTGTAATTGTGCCGCGTTGCGTGCACCTGGCCCCGTCGCGGTGGTCTAGTGGTTAAGATACTCTGCTGCTAACCCGCAGGTCGCGGTATCGAATCCCGGCTGTGGCGGCTGCATTTACGATGGAGGCGGAATTGTTGTGAGCCCATGTGCTCAGGTTTGGGTGCACGTCAAGCACCCCAGGTGGTCGAAATTTCCGGAGCCCTCCACTACGGCGTCTCTCATAATCATATGGTGGTTTTAGGACATTAAATGCCACATATCAATCAAATCAATCGTGCGCCTGCACCCCAAGTTGTTGCGCCTGTGTTGTGGATGGCTTGTCCCGTCGTCGTTACTCTCTCGACACTGAAGCCAGGCCAAGTCACTGAAAACGTCACTGCGCATATGCGCTTCTGTGCTGACCAGCAGTACACATCATTTCGGAGACAAATTGTAGGGAGGAAAATCACATCACTCCAAAACCTTAGTGACCTGGAAACTGCGTGCACGATTTTATGAGCATGCAGGAAAGTTGCTCAAGACACGCTGATGAGCATGAAATCATCAATTCATGCGTAGGCAGGGCCATTTAATAACGTTCATTTTTATGTACATTTTTATGGAGTAAAATTTTTTTCTGTAAAAAAGCAAACAATATTTAATACTGACAGAAAAATTGTTGATCCTGTACACTAGTTTACGGTCGCATGACAGGGTACCTTGGATAATTGAAGTTTCTGCCGCCAGGCAGCGCCACAGGCTATTTTCATGATTTTCAACGAAGAAATAAAGGTGTAACTCCACTTTTCATGAGAAAAAAAGGGTTGGTTTGAGTCATTATGAGGGATAGTCTTTGCATCCGTGCAGTCATCTCACTTCATGTTTTGGGCTGTTGCCTGCTGTGGGACATCAATGTGGCATGTTCTGCGCACGCCGCATGTTGGCAACTCTGCCAGAATGATGGGAGAAACCTTTGCATGAGCCTACTGATGGCATTTGTGGTATATCACAGACACTGCTTTAGTGACGTCAGTGTGAGCCACCCATCAGTATTTTTCAAGCACGGCTCCAAGAATTCTGATTTCACCGTAGTACACAAGTGTTAGTAGTAATTTTTAAGTCTTGTATTTCTCTTATATATAAGCTACTCTATGTGTTGCAAATTGTCCACATCATTGTTTCATGCACATTTGAAGCTCTTACTAAAGTTGAAACTGATGGGAGAAACTTCTGCATGGACGTACTGATGGTATTCAGTACGCACAAGTTGAAACTATTATTGGAAAAAGAATTACCGCAACACATGAAGATATTTGGACGGTTCATTACTGCATCATGAAGTGTGCGCTGCTGTTTCCAGATACATCATCCAGTATATGGTTGGTCTTGTGTAACCTTACTGGAATTGGTGGGCGATAGCTACGTTGCCATTGGATGTAGTGGTACTCTAGAAAGCTTAGGGCTTTGATAGTGATCCCACTTCAAGCACTCACAGTGAGGTGCTCTTGGTTTTATGATTAAATTCAAAGCACCTTGGAAGCTCACTTATAAAAAAAAATTGTAGAAAATGTATCATTAATAGCATTCTGTGTGTTGCAGGATAGCATACAAGAAGTGCAATGCAGCTGTCGGTATCAAGTATGACAAGCAGTCGGACAAGCTGGTGCTCATCAAGGTTAACTTGGAGCACGATCACACGGACCCAGTTCCCGACACCAATGCAGTCGACAGCACCAACGACCTTTCACAGGTACATTCGGTACCATGTCCCGTCAGAGGAAATGCACGCTTATAGGCTCTATTTGCATGCCATGCAGCTGACCATATAAGAACTTGATGGGCGCATATGCTTTTCCTATAATAGCGCAAATAGAGAATCATCAGCTGTCGTTGGCATTGCCATGCTTCACTTCCCAGTGCATGTGACAGGGGCCGTTGTAAACTCTCCTGGGGTGCCTACTCCAATACAGTGGTCACTATATCTAAAGGAAAATTTTGTAGTGCAAAGTAACACAAACACAGACCATATGGTGTAGTAGCGCAAATTCACGGGGACAAAAAGGACAAGAAAACACGACACTCGCTACACTCGCAACTAATTTTTATTTCAGAAGCAGCACTTCATATATAACCCAAAACCCTAGCGACACAGAAAAGAACTACGAACACTGAATCATCGCCAACAGAAGCTTTTGCGCAGACTCAAGCGATAGTATACGGCAGTTACGCTTAGACACTTTAAGATGACATAACTAAAACAGCCCTGGGTAACATCAAATAAAAAAAACCAAAAAATTTGCGGGAATTCACACGTGTTTGAAACTAAATTTTTGAAACGACAAAAAGGAGAGTATGACACATGCAAACGCTGATCTCAATTAAGTCCTTCGAGGTAGCTGGCTTCTCGGTAGCTGTCCCCGTGAATTTGCGCTACTACACCATATGGTTAAATGATGTCTCACCAACTAGCCCAGCTCTCAACCCTACTGAACACACACACAGAGCGTGGAAGCGGTGATGTTTATTTGTCTGTCTGTTGCTTCGCACTAGAGACTTTTCCTTTAGAAGTCATGAACCGACTAGCCCAAGAAAATCTTTTGCTTAGCCACTTCACCATGATTGACCATTTTGCGAAGTGGAAAAGTAGCCACTACACACGGATGCCTACATAGCTTCAGGTTTTGTTTCTGCTGATGATGATCGATTGTAGCTAATCTCTTCGTAATGGGCTAGCTGCTTTCAACCATCCGCATGTGGTGCACTTGGCGCGATGGCTAACGTGATCGTACATTTCCGTTACACTATAATGGGCGTCTTTATTTGGTATTTTTTAGACAATGCAAATTTTTTACATGATATCTACAATAATCGAGGTTCTCCTGCCATTTTCATATATGAACTCTGCGATGAAGGGGGAAGTACTTTGCTTTAGTGAGATTGAAGGAAACAATTAACAAAAACTCATTAGTTAACTATTTCAATATTGCCTTGAGGACAGTTGTTTATATTGCCATGTGGGTTTATTGTCTCATTGTATGTATTCAATTTACACTCACAAAAGCTGCTAGCAATGTTCTGCACACGCGGTGTTGCAATGTTCAGGAAGCCTCACGAATGTCTGAGGTTATTCTGTTAAGATTACATGCAGTACACAAATAGCCAGGTTTATTTGTGGAGCTTTCACAAGCGCCAGCAATAATGCTAGAAACTTGGATGCCGCTTGAGTGAATGTCAGCGCTCTGTACTGCAAATCAGATTATAGACGGCCGACGATCTGTTCGCCAATGTCAGTGTGCAGCGGGCATCGCTTGCTGCAATTCGTTCTTCCATATACAGGCCACAATTTCATCTTGGACATGCCGACTTCTTTCTTCACAACTCGTCAAGTTGTGGAGCGTCACAATTTATGACACACCCGTTTTTTGAGAGGTCGCAAGAGTAGCATGTAACTTGGGATATTCATCATCGAATTTTAAAGCCGACACCACAAATGACCTCACCTGGTGCGCAGGAAATGTGACTGCTCTGTTGCATCATATCGACACTACTTGTGATGAGGAAGGGTGGAAAGTTGAAACATGTTAAAATAGAATTTGGTCAGGAGATATGGCCAGTCACCTGCAATACTGAAGGGTGGTTTCGTGCTTATCTCAGTCTGTGGTAAGCTATAAGCAGACACAGCGAACTGTAAGCTTGTCTGGAAGAAGCGTTGCAGTGACTATCACCAAGTTTTATGCTGTACACAGAAAGAAAAGGTAGATATTATGTTTTTTTTAGCGCAGTAGAAATAAACAGAAAAGCATGAAAAATTACATTTGAAGGCAAGGCGATCTGCCAGTGCTAGGGACATGGCACTTTCCACAACAAGACACTGCTGTGATGTGTCTTCATTCAAACTTCGTTACTTCCTTGTTATGGGAAGTTTCAGCATCGTTATTCTATCATCATGGTGCCATCACACATCATGTCATCATGTCACACCTCCATTACCACTGGAAAGTTTTGCCATCAGCACTGCAACCAATTAGTGGTGCTCATTACACAGTTGGACATCTTGATAGTGTTGATTATGAGTGGCAAAGCACCTCAGGGTCTAGGCTTGTGCATTGTCTGGCACAGCACATGCAAGGTGCCCACTATTTGCCGCATCGATGAAGAATAATAAGCATGTTAGCACATGTAGAGTGTAATAGAACAGGGGAGTGCTTAGAACGGCCATGGCACCAACGCATCAAAAGTGAAGCTCATACAGGGTCAACCTGGTCGTGGCGCTCGGGGTTGTAGTCTGCAATGTGTTGTCGTTTCAAGAGTTGTGTGCGACTCCACCAAAGTAGTTCGGGGGTAGAATGCCCGTTTCCCACTCAAAAGGCCTGGGTTGGAATCGTAGCTGTAGATGGTAGATTTTTATTTTTAGTGTCACTTGTTACAGTTGTATTAGTTTGCCTTTGTTTCTTAAAATTAGCTTCATTAGTTATATATTGTTTCAAAAAGTAACGCTATTTGTAGAGCAAAAAAATAAATTTGACAGCAAGCATATTTACTGGCGAGTGCAAATATCGGTTTCCATCATTTATTTTTACTTTGGTCAGCTATGAGTAGAGCGTGATTTTTTTTCGTTATTTATTATTTAAGGTATAGGTTTGCAATATCAGTTATACAAGAATGGTACATTTGTATCCACAATCTCAACATGTTCACCTGTTTTCCAGCGCCTCAATATCGCTTTATGGAAGTTACCATCCAAATATCTTTTTCGTCAGTGTCAGGAGGAACACTGGAAGATCAGACAGAACATTGCCGTTTTTGCAGTATTCAAATTTCACGGTTGTCTGCTGACTTAAGGTCGTTTACTTTCGGTTTTTCTTTTGAAGCGAGCCAGCAGCTGATGATTGAAAGCAGCATATCGAGCACACACCTGCCAAGTCTCGTATTCGCTGAAATCTCGGAGGCCATATTTTATATTTTTGTTGAATCCCATACGGTGCTGCAAGTAATTATGCTTGTTGTCAAATGTCTTTTTCTTATTTTGCGTCACTTTTTGTGGCAACACGTACAACTGAAGCTAGATCTAAAAAACAAAGGCAAAACAACACAGCTCTACTACTGATACTGAGAATAAAAATAAGCCATCAACAGCTGCGGTGCGAACCTAGGCCTTTTGGGTGGGAAGCGGGCATTTCGCCCCCAAACCACTTTGGTGGAGCTGCACGCAACTCACAAAACAATGACTCATTGCACACTACCGACCCCAGTGCCACAAGCAAATTGACCCTGTTTGGGCTTAACTTTTCAAAGCTGGTTACAGGCAGCATTTTTTGGTATGGCACGAGCCAATAAAGACGAAAGTGTACAGAAGGGACACAGACGTTCTGGGCACTCTCCTGTTCTATTACACTCTAGTGCATGGAAAGCACCCGATGACAATGAGGCAGTCATCACGGTACAGGAGCACAGGCAAGGTACCCACTATATCCCATGAAACATGTGGGGGTGCTGACACCCCCCCTGTAAAGTTGTCTGCGCCGCGTGGCGCACGTGTCTCGCCCCAGGGCGTTATTTCGGTGGTGACCACCACCGGGCGATAGATGGCGTTGTGTTCGCTCTGAGTACCACTGTTGGTAGAGTGGCAGCGCCGGTGGTGGCCCCTGGCGGAAGGCGGGCCTTGGTGGTGGGCGAGCGTTGAGCGAGCCTCTTCTGCGCGTGGCGGCTGCCGCGAACGGTTGTCTGTAGCGCGGGTCTCCGGTGCTCGGCACCGCGGGCTTCGCGCCGGGGTCCCGCGCGTAAGGTCAGGCGTTGGCGACGCCGCCTTGGGTATGTGCTAGTGTGTTGGGTGTGTTAGTGTGGGTTTATCATGTTATTGTGTGTTTAGTGTGTCCCTGCGTTATGTTTGTATGGTAGCGTGTTGAAATTGGTGTATCATTCGGCGGACGATATCGTCGTCTAAATTAGTTAATAAATGTATGCATGTTGCGGGCTTTGTTCCGACCGTGTTCACTGTGTCCGTTCACTCCAAGAGCGTGGCGTGTCGAGGCGCTCGTTCGCCTCGCCGGGACCCCACAAACACAAGAAAAGCTAAAAAACTTCTAGTAAATGTCCAAGAAGGTTAGTCCAAAGGTATACAGTGAAACCTCGTTAAACCATACCCGTCTAAACAGTAGTTTCGTTTTAAAAGTAGTGAAGTCAAATCCCCGACTCAGCGGCCATTGAACATAATGCATTTTGTATCCGCATAAGCCGTGCCAGCTTATCGCGCATGTATCGGTTAATAAGTAGTTTTTCCAATTTTCGTTGCGCACTCGCCGTGGCATGTCGTCTCCCACTGGGCGTCCCGACAGAACAGCAAGCCCCAGAGATCGAAACACGCCTCGCTTGTTTGTGTTGATGATGATGGCGGCTGTGTTGGTGAGCGCCATCTCTTGGATTTTTCTGCAACAAGAAGCACTCGGCCAGCTAGGCTTCTGGTGTTGTCCACGCGATGGCGCTTTGCACAAATATGCAAAGTTTTGGAAGAGCAGCGAAAGTGGGAAGGAGACAAGATGAGCAACTACAGGAAAGTTTTTATTCAGAAAGGCAAATAGAAATTGCTACAAAACAAATTGGGAAAGTAATCACTGAGGATAATAAAACTGTGTGGACATACACAAATCTAATTAGACTGTTTGGGCTAGAGCTTGCTAAGGCACGTGACAAGTCACCCCGGAAAAGAAGACCCTAGCACAAGAGTTGGTGGGATGAGGAAGTTAAGAGAGC